GTAAAAATATTATTGATATTAATTTATCAGTAATATTAAAATACTAATAATATATAAATTTTATTTATTTAGTAATAATAAATATATATCATTTGATACATTAAAAATAATAATATACGTTAATTTAAATAAACAAACAATTATATAGTTTTAAAACATTATATATATATATATTAAAATTTTAAAATTATTAAATTTTTAATGAGAAAGACTAAAATTGCACAATTATGATATTTGAGAGATTAAAATTGTTCAATTAAAAATTGTGAGACTAAAATTATACAACTATAATCTTTTAAGGACTGAAATTATTCAATTAAAACTTTAGAGATCAAAATTGCATAATTATAATATTAAAAACACAATTAAGAAAAGAATATTTTTTTCACAGTTTTGGAACGGGTCGTTCTGAATCCAGAACGTCCCGTTCTGAAAGCAGAACGGGCCGTTCTGGTTTCAGAACTGCCCGTTCTGCGTCACTGGTGGTGTTTTAATTTTGCAACCAGAACGGCCCGTTCCGGTTTCAGAACGGGCCGTTTCGGTCCAGGTGTTTTCAAAAAAAATTCTCATCCACGTGGATGCCACGTGGCGAAAAGTTAATTCCGTTTAAATAATTTAGACGGAAGTCCCACATTGAAATTAATTAATTAATTTGGGATTAAATTGAAACCAATTAATTAGTTTGGGACCAAATTGAGACAAAAAATTAATGAGAAACTACTAAATTGAAACAAAAAAGATTATAAGGGACCAAATTAAGTTTTTAGCCTAATTTTTATCGTTACTATATAAAAAATTTATATCAGTATAGAGCATAAATATACTTATTTTTTGTCTATAATAATATTCATAGATGGACTAATTAAATATGCCTTTTACGCAAAAAAAAAGCGCTCTTAAAAACTTTAATCACTGTTCTAATAATATTATTAAAATAAAATAAACATAAATTTGAATTGTATCGCGAAACAAGCGGATTCTAATAAAAAACAAACAGTAGTAAGCAACTTTTATCAGCGATGAATTTCCCGTTGTCTATTGCAAGGTTGTTAAGCAATGCAATGCAATGCAAAATGACAAACTACATAATGCCAAAATAAACATGACAAACTATACACTAAAATGAAAAACTAGTTGATATATATGTACTAACATAGGAAGATTCATGCTTGCATCATTATAGTAAATAAGTACGAGATTTCCCCCTTAATAGATATTCTTTTTTACTTTTTAGCTCTCACTATAAATTTCATTTTTACGTACTATTTATCTTATTCTCTACATTCTACCACAAGAGTTTGAGTTCACCGACTGATATATCACAATTTCCCATGAACGTATGTGGCTCACGCAAGAAGAGTCGGGAAAATTCCTAGAAGTTTCATTGCTTACATGGCTACAGACATTGGAAAGCCACCATGGTTATGTGTATGCAACGAAAGTACCAAATTAATTTTTCATCTATAACACAGCTTATCGCAGTACACTAAATAAGCTAGATTGTCCTACATATTTAAGCTCACATACACTTCACCGTTCCAATAGAGAAAAGAAGTTAGAGGTTATAATTATTGAAATTAATGCACATGAGCACTGAGGCCACCACATCACGAGCAATGGATGAAGATTTGGAGAACAACAGGAATGCAAATTCGGCGATGGTGAGAAAGAAGTCAGAAATAGCTGTGGTCACAAACAATAACGCTCGTTTCCAAATGCTTAGAAATTTCATCACCAATTTGAAAGAGGTCATCTTCGGCACTAAGCTTGTTGTGCTTTTCCCCGCAGTTCCTTTGGCTGTAGTTGCAAATTTTTGTAGCTTTGGAAGGGTAAGTATCACTATGTGGTTCATGCAAACTATACATATTCTTATTTCCAACCCAATTTACACTAGCCATTTTTTCTCTCTCACAATATTCGCATTCAGACTTTATATGTATTACTTTAATCTCCACAATTACTGGTATGATCTTTTATTCTTTTTATCATGTTATTCCTCCACAATACTTGAGTCTTGGGTATATTATGTGTTTCAAAACATACTATTAGTGTATAACATGTTTAAATATCAATTGTATATACACACGCCACTTTTCTACACAATTTTTACACCAATTAATGATATATAAATGTACGACTAATGAAATGTGTTGTTTGGGTTGTTAGTTAATAAATTAATTAATATTTAATCACTATAATATAATAATTGATTACTATAGTTTTTTTAACTGCATGAATAACCCGTTATTATGAATATAGTATATCATAAACTAGTTTAAAGTTATTTAAAAAATGTGCAACAATTTGGATTTTTAATTAACTAGAGAATTTAAGTAGATTATAAAAGGGTTAATCATATTTCTAATTAAAATTTTGGCACGTAGCCTTGGATATTTGCTTTCAGCTTGCTTGGACTTGCTCCCCTAGCTGAACGTGTCAGCTTCCTGACTGAGTAAGTTTGCATGTCTCCTCCTAACTCAACAAATTCACTAAAATATGCTATTATACATGTTTCTAATTAACTTTCTTTTTTTTAAATTGCGATTACTCAAAAATTTCACCTCGATCTCACGATCTTCAAGGCAAATTGCATATTACACTGGCCCAACAGGTATCATATAATTCGAGTTCCTATAAATGCTAGAAAAGTTTATAGAACGAAAATGAAATAATTATGCAAGGAGATTTAGCATGCACATTATAGTGTGGTGTAAAGGAAATTAACCAATTTGGTTTTGGTATGTGTGGATGCACGTTCAGTTGGAGGGCTTCTGAATGCAACTTGTGGAAATGCAACAGAGATGATCATAGCATTATTTGCACTTCACCAGAACAAAGTAAATGTTGTCAAGTTCTCCCTGCTCGGTTCCATTCTCTCAAACCTTCTCTTGGTTCTTGGCAGTTCACTTCTCATTGGTGGTTTAGCCAATCTTAAGAGGGAGCAGAGATATGATAGAGTATGTATCAATTCTTAATTATTTTGTTTAAGTTAAAGTAAAATGTGTTTTAAATCCTTAAAATTTAATTAAAATTAGTTTTATCTCTATAGTTAAAAATTACCAATTATAGTGGGGGGATATCTAAACTAAATTGTGACGGATTTGATTTCTCACTCTACATCACTGACCTGATCTGGAGAAATTATCGGGTTATGTATTACGCTTTCTTTTTTTTTTTTTTAGAAAGACAAAGATTTAATACGAACAAATTGATGGTGAAGATATCACAAAGAGTGAACTCCACCAAAATAGTAAATACATCGGTACATATATAGTGAAAACCAATATAATCTGTTATCAAATTTAATATACAGAAGGCATAAATTTCTATATGTATTACGTGACTCTTAATTAGTTTCTATGACATTTGATTAGTGTCATTAACTTTAGTAACTGATTGGGATCATCAACAGATGATTGATGATCATGAATCACTTAATAATTTTTTCTTGACCAGAAGCGAAATTCATCATATTTTAGGAAATCTTAAAGACACTTAAACAGTGTGGAAATTGAATTACTTAAAGTTTATGTTAATTTTCCCTAATGAAATTGTTTTGTTATTGAATGAACAGAAACAGGCAGATGTAAATTCACTGCTATTGTTGCTGGGGTTGCTGTGCCATTTGCTGCCATTACTGTTCAAATTCGCGTTGGGAGGGGGCGATCATTCTATAGCCATTAACACTCTCCAGTTGTCCAGAGCAAGCAGCGTTGTTATGCTTCTAGCATACGTTGCTTACATCGTCTTCCAATTAAAAACTCATCGAAAACTGTTTGATGCACAAGAGGTGATCATTTCGTAATATTTTGACATTTACTATTTAGCCACAATTTGTTTATGTTTCAACTTTACTACATATAACTATAGCCCTAGAAAAAAATCTGTAATAATCAATTATCCAGCTAAAATAAATATTAGGTGCGGGGTTTAACTGTTTGATCTGCAGGAGGACGAAGATGAAGAGAAGCCTGTGATAGGATTTTGGAGTGCATTTACCTGGTTGGTGGGTATGACATTGGTCATATCTGTACTTTCTGAATATGTTGTGGGAACCATTGAGGTAATTAATTATAATGATTTTGATAGTCATGAATTTTTTTAATAATGACATGAACCAAGCATTAATTATATTAATGGGTTATCATTTTTTTTTAACTAGGCTGCTTCAGATTCTTGGGGCATTTCTGTAAGTTTCATCAGCATAATTTTGCTACCAATTGTTGGAAATGCTGCAGAACATGCTGGTTCAATCATATTTGCTTACAAGAACAAGTTGGTACGGATTGTCAATTTGTACATAGGCTTAAGTTTATTAATTGACTTTACAATTAATGCATGGTGCCGTGGTTAATATTTTCATGCAGGACATATCTTTGGGAGTTGCTATGGGATCTGCAACTCAAATTTCTATGTTTGTGGTAAGGCTGAATTATCATATAATATGATCATGCTTGGAAAGGAATAAAGGAAATTTTTATTTTGGCCAATACCAACAAATTTTGATCATCTAATGATTAATCAATTTCAGGTTCCATTAAGTGTAGTTGTTGCATGGATAATGGGTATACGAATGGATTTGGACTTCAGTCTTCTTGAAACTGGATGTCTCGCTTTTACAATTATAGTTACAGCCTTCACTTTACAGGTATATATGCACAATGCCTTCTATATATGCCATCTTCACTTTTTCTTTCTTTTAATGATGTGATTTATTGTTTTTTACTATATAGGATGGAACTTCACACTACATGAAAGGAGTGGTTCTTACTCTATGTTACATTGTCATTGCTGCATGTTTTTTTGTTCTTAAAACTCCTCTAATTGGTAAGTATACATATATCGAATCAATATTTAAGACTATTAAATAAAATGATTATTGAATTTACATGGTTTTAATATGATACAGAGCAATATCCTAGGGGCAATTTTGGAGGTAAACCATCCTTTGAAGCCATTATAACTTGAATGACTTTGGTTCCACTACTAAGATAAACAACGTTACTCTATGGATAACTGAACCTCGTCTCAGGGATCAATTGCAGAGATGGATTTTTATTCATGGTGGAAATTGAGCGCCTTTGACTGAGGCTTTAATTGAGCAACATCATAAACTTTCAAAAGTAGAGATTTCAATGCTTTATATAATTCTTTCTTCGTAATAAGGCTTAACAATGACGTTTTGGGTTTGAAATCGCGCCTATGTACCTTTTTTTGTTTTAGTTTTATGTCTTCCCTTCCCACACTTTATAGATATGATCACTTTCATGTACCGATGACTAATTAATAATTTCTTTTTCATCGGATGTAAAAATTAATTCTAATAAAATTGTCTTTCATATAGTAATTTTTATATCCCTAATATATGTTTCTTGGAAGTAAAAATAAAGTTCAACTACTCTTTGGATCTTTATGATTTCATAAATTTTACATTTTTCAATTTCTTTAATATATATATATATATATATATGAACACATAAATCATTTTTTAGTCTATTTTTATCGAGACTAAAAGGTATAGTCTATAAACATGTAAGAATTAAAAAGAAAAAAATAATATGTATAGTTATTAAGATAAAATATTTTTAATTATAAAAATTAAAAGATAAAATTCATGAAATTATAAAAATAAATTGATAATCAAACTTAAAAATAATTATTTGTAAAAAGTAATATATTGAAAATAAGATATCATTGAATATAAATTTTTAAATTTGTACATCGTGAAATTATTGAATAAAAGATTTAATTGTACTTTTTCAATTATCTGATTTGATCACTTAAATTTTAATTAAATATATTAAATTTCAAAACATTGTAATAATAAAGTTTTGGTGTTTTATATTAATATTTTATTAAAATTTTAATAATTTTTATTGATGTGTTATGACCTCTTTGTGAAAATAAGATTAAAAACAAAGCCTAAACCTAACAAACAAATTAAGGATATTAAAGAAAAAGCCGAAACCTAAAATAAATTAAGGAAAAAGGAAACTAGAAGGGCAAAAGAAAGGGGTCAATGCTAGATCAACGAAATGCCTATGAGCAGTCCAGCAGACACAATGCTATGAGAAGAATCCAAGTAAATCTGGAAATTCCAAATTTATATTAGCTTCAAAATTGAAATTCAGCAAAAGAAGAAAAGAAAGAAAAACTTCGTCTGCTGGATCAAATTTCGTCATTAATTTTATTCAATAATCAGACCCCATGCATTGATAATCACCTATATGATATGATCCAATGTCAGAATCATCTACGTGCTGTGTTTCTCTCATCTCTTTTGGAAATTCAAGATTTTGACTGATACAGCGAAAGAACCAAAGAACACCACAATAAATCCAAGAAGCACGACCACTGAAATACCCACAGAAGAAAATCCGTTGATTTTAGCATCGAATCCAAGAGAAACAGCTAAATACTCTTTCACGGTGCCCTCAAATCCAGGTCCCACAATTTTGGTTTCCACGTCACCAAGCTGGGATGTGATAATACCACGTAACGTCCATGCAATCGGGCAGATATAATAGAACCAAATCCACCAGCCGGGAATACTCTGAGACATTAAAAGGAGTGAAGAGTCATTAAAATCCAATGTTTAGAAAACCATGAAACTACATGGATTTTAGCTGCAATGCAAAGATTCATTTCTCTATTTCTTTCTGGAATAGGTAGCGCATGTAAAAGTATAAAAATCAATAGACAATTGCTCGTAAGAGAAAAACACACAGAATACATTTTACCAATGACTGCATTAACGATTGTGCTGCAGTATGGCATTACTCACCGCTTTTGGGATGAGAAAACCTGAAAGAAGATTCCACAGGGAGTAAAAGGCTGAAGAAATAACAGCTGCTAGATGTTGGGAAGGTGTAACACCAACAGCCATCATGCCGTAGAAGGTGAAGTAGGTGAACGTTAGGAACATGAACACGAGATAAAGAAAAAACTTCCCTGCAATAAACAGAAAATTATCCTGTTAACACAGATTTTATTCACATGTAACATCTAAAACCATTTCTGTTTTCTCTTTTTCATTTTAGAAGAAAGCACACTTAAGAAATTAAATCGCTAATGTATGTTAAACGCAAAAATTAAATAATCTAATGTAAATGAAACTAATAAAGAAAACTTAAATAATTTAATATTCGACCAAAAACGAAAAGTAATCCTTATTTTTTTTTTGAAAACATATTTTATGCACAGTTTATGGATGGAACTGGGTCCAATGAAGTTTTCACTATTGTCAATAATCAATCTATGGATGCCAACGAGAACACCAAAAGAAACATGTATTACTCAAAGGTAAATAATTCAACACACTAAACGATTTTGGGTGGAAGGAGGGGTTATGGTCCCTGTTTGTATATCACTAAAATGTGAGTGGATTCCAAATAATATAAAACAATAAATATCTACAAATGGAAATCAGAAATATTACCAGCTGTCCTTTCAAAATTGATCATGAAATATGTGATTATACCAAATATTATTGTCTGAACAGCAATATATGGTATCTCTACAAGCCCCTGTCAATCATATTAAGCGATTACTACAAGCAATTTGCATAACACATCTAAGCATGGAATAGATTTCCAGTATTGTAAGACTTACCTGGGCTGCCGCATAAGCGATTGGAGAAAACATTCCAGCAGCTTTCTCTCTATAAAACACAGTCCTTTCTATTGAAACAATTGGCTGTACTGAAGAAGAGTTGTTTACCCCAACAAACATGCATGTAGAATAAAGAGCTCCCATGACTACAAACAGCTCTTGAGTTGATTCCCTACAGAATTAGTAATGACAACTGTTTTATTAGTATAGGGGTTAGAGATTGATGACATCATAAACAAACTTTGATAAATCTTCCATTAAACAGAAGAAATTTCTGATGTCTTAGAAAAATCGGATTTAAATATATAAAAGGTTGACTTTAGGATAATCAGTGGCTTCAATTATGTCTGATTTTGTTTTGGACAAAAGATCCCTAGTGTTTTGAGTTTAAGTGCGACAACATTAGAGTGATGACATTTAAAGTATTGACCATTTTAGTATTTGTGGACTATCATGACACTTTAAGAGCTAAGGGAGAAATTACTTTAACCTTAACTCTCAAGCAATGTAAAATTTTTGACAAACTTGAAAATCACTAGAAAAAGGATAGTTTATAAATATTTTTCTTAACCCATTGTGCTATTTTTTAAAGAAGAAAATCATGACAATTTATAAGTAATGAAACAGACAATACTTTAAATGTAGTGAAATAAGGATGCTGGCCAATTTGAGGTTGGAACACCAAGTAATAATCATGATCATTTTATTACTCTCAGTCTCATTTCTTTTTCTACTTGAGCAGTTACATAAAAATAAAATTTATTCCGATTTCGGTCTCTTCTTTGGCTTAATGTTATATTTTAAGACAATTCCTTCTACAAGAAAAATGATAACATAGAGAAATCATCAAACAAAAAAAATGATAACGTAGAGAACGGTTACCTTTTTGAACCAATATCCCAAAATACGGTACCAAATATCAAAGCACTTATTGTGGTGAAGTATAACCTCATGGCATTATACGATGGACTTCTCCAGTACACAAGATTTTGTTTCCATAAGCATCGAAGTAATTGGTTCCACAGGTTTTGTGAATATTCGGTGTCAAACTTCAATGGTTCAGAGCCTGAAGGAGGATGTCCAAATTGCAAAATAGAAGACTCCACCCCCCTGAGAAAAACATTGACTAAACAGTTTAAAAGAAATCTTTCTATCCTACCACCTCTAGCTTTAGGGTTGTAACATCATAGTTTTGTTCCCTTACTAGAAGTAGACCATTTTTCTCGTATCATCTCACTCCAACCTATCCTTAGAAGAAAAAAAAGGGAATGGAAAACAGACTTCAGCAATAGCACTTAAGAAACTACAAATTAGAAGCACCTGTATTGCTCTGAATTCCTGTAAATTTCAGCAAAATCTGCACCAATCCTCTCTTCAGTAGCAGGTGTACTAACCTCAAGCACCCAGGTAGCCGGATTGTAGCCCTTTGGAATGGGGGGAATTCCATTGATTCCCTGCAGAGCGGATAGGAAAACAACCACAAACCAAAAATATAAACAACAAATGAAAACATACTTGCATCTTGAAATTTGTTTTAACAGAGAAATCCACAAAAAAAGAGAGGAAGAAGAACAATTAGGCAGAGGCATTCTTGTGTCGTAATTATTCATATTCATGGATATCTTAGTAATAAGAAATGCCAGATAAGATGAAAAGCTAACATAGACTACAAAAGATTCACTGTCTACGTATTCACTTTCTTTCGCCTTTACTCCCACATGATATATTCATCACAATAGGATCTAATCCTGTGAATTTAGTCTGACCTACTCTGTTCGTGGTACCTCCTTTTATATTAAAAGCTAGAAGTACCAAGAAGAATCTTCAAACTGAGAACAAGACTAAAAAATTGAGCTAAGTATAGCATCTAACAGGAAAATTTTCAAATTCGTACAAGCAAAACCTAATATTTGATGTATCAAATATCAATAAAGAAAAAACTGTTTGATTGAGAAGCAGGATGCTTCCATTTGGACAAGAAGGCATTAGACAGCAACGAAAGAAATTACAAATATCACTCTTCCAGCAGCAGCAGCAACAACAACAATGCAAAACTTAACTGTAACCTCACCTGAAAGTAGTCTATCATTATCTGTGACTGCACACCAAGCTTTCCTCCATATATTACTCGTCCCCCACGTTTCATAAGAAGTAACTAGGTAGAGCAAAAACTAAGCTTTAGAGACTGATAGAAGCCAGTGCATCATTAGTTATCAAAACAGAAAAATATAAAAATACTGTAATTAAACTAACTTCATCAAATGCTTCAAATATATCAATACTTGGTTGATGTATAGTGCAAACCACAGTTCTTCCAGTATCAACGGTATTTCGAACAGCACGCATTACAATAGCTGCTGCACGTGCATCAAGTCCAGAAGTAGGTTCATCCATAAAAATAATGGAAGGGTTTGCTACAAGCTCCACTGCTATTGTTAATCGCTTTCTCTGCTCTGTTGATAAGCCAGAGCTACCTGGCATACCAACCAAAGCATGTTTCAAAGTATCAAGCTCAACTAGTTTCATCACTTGTTCAACAAATTCCTGTAGAATATTTCAGTGAATTAAAAATTTGGAAATAATTCAGTACGATCAGATATAAAATGTGTCATGAAACAACTTACGAGTCTTTTAGCAAATCCAACTTCCTTTGGAAGGCGAAGAGATGAAGAAAACAATAGCGACTCCTCAATTGTTACTTGAGGAGAATGTATATCATTTTGTTCAACATATCCTGATATTCTGGCAAATGTTCGTTGCTCTTTTGGGTAACCCGAAATTTTAATTTCCCCTTCTATGTACCCTCCAGTTTTCCTGCCAGCCAGTACGTCCATTAAGGTGGTCTTTCCAGCCCCACTAGACCCCACTAATGCTGTAAGGACACCAGGTGAGAATACTCCACTGACATTTGTCAAGAGCTGCAACCGAGTTTCAGGTACGCCTTGCTTGCTTATCGCCTGTAAAAAACAAAAAATAAAATTAAAAAAAATCTTTTAGAACTAGTTAATAGAAATAAGATCTCCTATATTTTCTGGTGTGTATGTCACAGTTTAGCATAGTGTATCAGTTGATAAAATTAGAAATAACCCCCAACCTTTGGCATATCAACAAAATAATTGACATTATGAAATGTCATTGTCAGTGGTTGAAATGGAAGAATCATTCCTTTCTTAGTACTGTCCTCTCTTGCGGGTCTGGCACGGGTACTCATTTCATTGACCTTATTACTGACTGAACAACCAAGTGATGGACAGTGAGACAATTTTGATCAATAGACTCAATACATTATCAATCTTTCAGTCTCTGGACTATTATTCATGCAAAGTTTGGCCATTACCATCTCTGGAAGAATTCTTTTCCGAGTCATCATCAGAAGGCATAACTGTTCGTGGTTTTCGAATTGCTTCATTAAAAAGTAACAGGACAAAAAAGAAGAAAAGGGGGGTTAGATGAAGATAACGTAAGCAAATATCTGACTAAAGATATTAAATATTAAGAGAGGAAACATGCTCTTAAATTAAAAAATATTTTGGGAAATATTATTCAAAACTTACGATTCAGATAGGCTAAGGCCACAGTGACCATGTTGTTGAAAAAAAATGAATAGAGGATTAAAACTGCAAGACCAATCCAATACCAGCGGTCCTCACTTGGTAGGCTGTTTGAGTGGAGGATATTGTAACCAACTGTGGTGTCCCCAGTTGCAGATTTCTGCAGATAGTTAACGTTGTAAACCATGAATATTCTATAAAGCCTTCCGAATAATTACTACATGATGATTCACACCTTCAGCCCAAGATTTTGATGAGTTGACTCTGGAGAGGTATTAACGTCACTATAACCAGGTGGTCAAAAGTTTAATCCTTGTTCACTAATTCTTCGCAATTAAATCAAGTTTTAGCACAAGTTAAGGTAGTACACTAGTACTATGTCACTCCTATCCTATGCTTTTGCTGTGCTGAACAAAAGCCCAAAAGGCTATCATGTGAGAAGTTTCTAGACATAAAATATCATTCTTGACAGGTTAAGTTTTGGTGTAGGGTTAGTCCTTGACAATTTTAACTATTAACACATGAATTCATAAAGTAAAAAAAAAAAAAAGAATAATAATGTTACGTGGCCAAACGTAATACCTTCATCCATCTTGAAGCAGTAAATTCATTAACTGTAATAGCTCGTTGACCATAGGTAAGGGGTGACAACCAGTAGCCCCAAATCCACCATGGTTTAATCATTCCTGAAGAAATAACAGCCAAAATTACTGATAGTGTGTTTGAATGATGGTTCTTAAGAAAATGATTTATTTTTTTAATGAATTTTAAATGCTTTAAATAAAATATTTTATTTGAGTAAAGAAATTAAAATTTAAGCATTTGAGAAAATTTTTAAAATAGTAAAATTTTAAATTCTCTTAATAAAGTAAAAATTTCAAATTTTTCATTTTTTTTTCTTTTTTCATTTGTGTCTTTTATCTCTCATTTTTTTTATAGAACTCGAGAAATGGTTTAAGTTTGTTGGGCTAATTCCCTCTTTGATTAAAAATATAAATGTTTTCTTAATTATCATATTTCAAAAACATTGTTTAAATTATTAAATATTTAAAATTGACTAATCTTTATTTTTATAAAGTCTAATCTTTAAATTTTTAATATATATATATATTTCTAACAAATTAAATAACAATGTATTTAACTTTTCTTTAACAATTTGCGTTGCTGCTGCCTGCCTACCTTTAGGTATAATAAATCCTCCCAGTACGAATATAAGCATTAGTGAAGCCGATCCATATGTATTAGCAAGAACCATATCTCGTGCCAAAGCAGCCATCATCCGGAAGAGACCTAATGCCATTTGATGCATTACAAAAAGTAGAAACATGTAGCGAAAAAACCTGAAATATTTAACAAAATGAAATGATTACGAGGGTCAAAAAGAGAATTCCAAACATAAAGATAATAAAATTAAGATACCTTCCCGCTGCTGGAGCAAATCCAACAGTATAATATACAACAAGAGTCCATATAACAGCCTCAACCACGGAATACGGTACACGTAGTATCCAACTGGCGAGAGACCACGCCCATGCAGGATAGAATAAATTGTCTCTTTGCTTATAAAATACTGGAAGCCGAGTGATCATAAGAGGCAGCTCAGAAAACCCATTAAACATCATGTGAACCACCCCAAAAAATAGAGCAGAAAGATAAAGGTGTCCGTAAACCTCATCTGTGGGATGTAACCTTGTACGCAGGAATACTGTACATGTGACAAATCCAACAAAAGCAACCTTTGGCAAGTAAAGAATCAAATGTAAATGAATATCGACCCAAAAAAATGCAAAAGAGAATAGTTAAACGAAATTGAAAAAAAAAACTGAGAACCGGTAAATAGTGTCAATGTATTTTTCCTAAGAAAAAATACATTAAAAAATCTTGTATTGGATATATATATATATAATTTTACTTTATTTTTACTATAAAAATATAGATTAAAATAAAGTACGATCTCATTTAAGATTAAAATCAATAACTAACTTATTTGAGGATTTTGAGTGAAGTTTTAAATTAGATTATTTAAAAGAAAAGTTAAATTCATCCTAATTAAATCTTAACTAATAAAAATAATAAGATTTAATCAATTATATTATTCTCACATATTAAAAAAAAATATATTGGACATATATGCACACAAAACAAATTACAGACAATATAATTTGTGATGTTGAAATTTATTGTAACTCTATTTGTATTTTCTTTTATTATAACAGCAAGAATTTTATGCAAATTATTCAAATTACTTTGGCCAATTCCAGGGGATTTTTTTGTTGGTAAAGATATGAAAGATTACAAAGATGGTCACAATAAAGATTGAACCTAGATCCTCATATTTTTAATTACCATAAACCCTCCTCACTCAACTACTAGATTAACCCTAGTAGTTAATTCCAGGAGATTACAACCCTATTTGTATACATATTGATTTTTAAGGTTAATTAATAAGTATTTATTGTATTGTTTGAAATTTTTAAATGATTTATTAAGCTTTAAAAATAATTAATTGGGTCGAACTTGCAATCTATTTAACAGAATCCTTTGTCATCGAATTTTGTCAAAAAGATGTACGCTAAAGCATATAATTAAGGAATTAATTTCTATGTTTTTTTTTAATCTATAGAAAAGATTACATGCACACAATAAAGAGGAAATCTAAGTCTTCTCGTTTTTACTCCAACTTTTTTTCTCTTAACCAGTAGACTAATTCCGATAATCTAATTTCTGTATATTTTAAGATATTTTTATATTGCAAACTAATAAAAAATTATGATAAATATAATTTTTAATTATATTTTATAAAAATCAATAAAATTATCGTTGATAATTAACATTTCTACCTAAGCAGGAGTGAAAAATCATTCACACAAGTGTAAGTGTATGCACTATTATCTCTGTAATTAAGCCAATGAAAAGCAAAAAAATTCAAGTAACAACGATCCTTGCCGTGTAACTTTGATGAGTCAAATATTAAATTAGATTTCTTTACCATAACTTTTGATTGGAGTGAAAAATCATTCACACAAGTGTTTGTATATGCACTATTATCTCTGTAATTAAGCCAATGAAAAGCAAAAAAAATTCAAGTAACAACGACGCTTGCAGTGTAACTTTGATGAGTCAAATCTTAGACTTTTTTACCATGACTTTTGATTGGAGGGACATGCAAAAAAAAAAATCCTTCTTATTTAATTTTAGTTTCTTTTTAATATCAAAGAAATCTAGAGGGAAGGAGTGAGATTTTAAAATATTTTTAATATGACATTTAAAATATTTTTATTTATGTTATTAAATTTTCAATTACAGTAAATTAATTTTGAAAATCTATCATTTTCTCTTATAAACTAAGTAAGAAAAGAGCTACTTCTCCTTTCATCTTCTCCTCTAAATCATACGAAATTTCTAACTTCTTTCTACTGTCTTTCTCTTTTCTTTTCCTCCCTTTGATAACAATCATACATACATGTCATGAAAAACAAATTGCAATAACATTTGATAAGCCAAATCTTAAATTAGATTCCATTGAGTGGGTAATAAAAAAATAAAATATACTCAATATTAAGGATGGCAAAAGGAATAATTAAACCGATGAATCAACCCATTTTAACTCACCTATTTTTTATGGGATGAATTAAGATTTTTTAAACATGATCTCTTTTTTTAGGCTAAAAAACGAGTTAAAAATTACTCAAATTTAGTTAATTAGCTTATCAATTCATTTTTTTAAATTAAAATTTCTTATATTATGTGATTTTTTTTATTAACATTTCACTTCAATATATTAATATACAAGATTTTTTTAAAAAATAATAGTATCAATTTGGATTATCTCAACTGAAACTCCCCCTCTCTTTGGCCTCATCTTATCTGAAGATGTTGGGGGTGTTGTGCTTTACCCCGTTTAGTTCCTTAGCTTTTTTCTTTTTCTGCTTAATTTTCCTTTTGTATAAGAAAAGACAAAGAAAAGTAATTCAAATAACTAGTTTAAATACTATATAAAATAGTCAAGAATACCTGGCAGGTCCTAAATATATAAAGAAAGCTATGTCTTTTGATCAAAAGGACTTCTCGTGCATAGCAAGCTTTAGCCATCTCCCACTTTGACACAGCATATTTAGTTCTAGCCAAAGCTGAAGAATGACATTTTGATTTATCAAATGGATGACTCTGCATGGATTCCACATACTTTCCAAATTTGGAATTTCTAAAGGCTTGCGCAATCTCGGAAACTGAGACAAACTCATATGGCTTTGAAGGATCAGCCCAGTATTGTGCTTGATCCTTTTTAGAGGTCACCTGACAACAGAAAAGAAGTTAAGCAACATGTTACGGTAAAATCATATTTAAAGCTGAAATATAAGTATACTACTGATAATTCACATTAAGAAAAATCTTTATTATTAAAAAAAAATTAAAAAGAAAAAATCTCAATAAATTTTTTATTTCTCACAATATTCTCTAAGGATTAAATTTTATTATTTTTACTCTTCTGTTTGAACTAATTAATAAAATCATCTACACTTTTTAATATTAAAATATATCTAACACAATCTTTTCGTTACAAATGGTTAATATCAATTAAAATATTAATTCAATGAATAGACTATCACTATTTATTATATATGAAAAACATATTTATATGGAAACATATTCAATATGTAAGACAATAGTTAAGGGAAGCATTTGATCGTATGAGATTATGTGAAGAAGATATACCTCCTGGAGAAAGTCTGCGATCCCTTTACGAGGTGGAAGTTGAAAACCTAATGACTGAAAAAACTCGAGCACATCTTCTCGAGGGCCTTCATATACTACGTACCCTTCTGACAAAAGCACCAGATCATCAAATAGCTCAAATGTTTCAGGAGCTGGCTGAAGGAGAGCCATGAGTACTGTAGCCTCCATCTGGTGAACAAAATTCTTTATGCATTTTACTATCTGGTACGTAGTAGAGCTATCAAGACCAGTTGATATTTCATCCATAAATAGTGTTTTTCTTGGACCAACAATCATTTCTCCTAAAAGATGCAATACAAGAAGTCAATGTTTGCTGCAAATGAACGACTTTAATCAGGGTCATCACTGTGTTTGAAGTCCTCTAGTCAGATGCGATTAAAATATTCGCAAAAATTCGTCATTTTTGGACTATCTAGAAACTCCTATTGAATCCAAGAAGCAATATATATACTAACTACAAACACTATTAGCTAAACATTTGCCTCGGTTCAAGCAACAATGCAATAGGCTTTTCACGGAAAATTAAGTAGCTTCAACAAGCATATGTGTTGTTATCCTTTTATCTGATGTTGAAACAGAATTGTAACAGAAATCTCCATTTGATTGCTTCAATAGTACATTACAATTATAATTAGAAAAATTAAGTTACCTAAAGAATAAAAAAAGTAAGACCTGGGACAGAAACAAATACTAGAGATGCTGAAGAGTGGTGACAAATACAGATAACTCTCGAAGAAGAGAGAGAGAGAGAAACCTGTTGTAACTCTCTTCCTTTGGCCGCCGGAGACCCCTCGAAGCATATCGTTGCCAACTATTGTGTCTGAACATATATCGAGACCAAGCACTTTCAAAATGTAATCTGTATTCACACTGTGTGTTTTACCTCCAACGGATGATGCCTGTAAAATTAATCAAATTTCACATAAGACATCACGATAGTCCATTGTCATAATAAAATAAATTATTAGGTACGCCGTGATTATTATATTTCCAACTAATTTTCTCATTAGACATGATTAAGGGTTATTAATTCTTTTCATAAGTTTAAAACTTGAATACACAACACATAGAGATCGAGCAACACCATGAGTCCATAATAATTTCTTCTAGAAGATACGTGAAGGCATGCGTTATGATTTACACTACTAGACATTTAGGATGATAACCTTCATAAACGCGTCAACTTCTGGACTAGGCCGTATGTTCCTTTCATGCTCTAGGCGGCCCAGTTCATTCGTATATGCTGCGAGAATGGGAAGAAAACAGTTAAACTTGTCAGGAAATTGCAGGAGCTAAGCACGTTTGTGATAGAAATGTAGGTTTAATTACTCTTGAATTTTAATAAATTTTACCTCCTAATTTTTATATTTAAAAATGTTTTATTTTAATTTTTATATATTTTGTTTCTTTTTTAGTCTCATTTATTGCTGCATAGACTAATTAAAAGATAAAGATTACAAAACTATGAGATTGAAATGAAACAAAAACAATATATAAAGACTAAGATAAAATAATTTTATTTATAAAGATTAAAAGGTAAATTTATAAAATTAAAAATAAAAAATAATTAAATCAGAAATTTATTTGTCAAGTATCTTCAACATAATTCAATTAATGTTTACCTGCAAAACCTTCTTTTGCACCTTGACATCTAGCACCGAAGTCCAAAGTTTCTCGTACTGTCAATTCAGCAATGTGATTATCTGTTTGGCTAATATATGCAGAAGTCCGTCGAACATAAAACTCGTCTGCCGCATGGCCATTGTATGTTATAGTGCCAGTTTTCTGTAAAAACAGAAAAGTAAGAAGAAATTTTTTAAGAGTAACGCATTTTAAAACTAATTTTTAAGAAGAAAAAAAGGTTAGCGCTAAGTGATGCTAAAAGAGTCCATTTATCCAAACTATTTACAAGTAAATTTATTTAAATTTATCTATTATAATAAAAATAAATAATAAATTAAATCTAATCTATTCATCCACTAATTTTTTGAAATTCACAGAATTATAATGAGATATTTATTAAATTAATATTTAAAAACTGTTTTAACATAAAAATTATTATAAATTTTAAAAGATTATATAAGAATGTAATAATTTGTATTTTAAAAATATTTTAAAATATGATTTTTCATGAATAAGTTAGATATCTTTTCATCAAGAAATTATTAATTAATAAAGTAGATAAAAAAATTTCTTTAAATAGATTGAATTTTTAAATAAAATTTTAATGCATTTAAATAAATTAATAGATTATTTTTTAACAATCAATTATCCTTTTAAAAAATTATCTAATTCCTCTATTTACTATCCTAAATTAAGGTATACCTTAGATTTTGCTAAATATGAACATGGGAGAACGGCGCAATTACAAACCAAATTAAAACACGCAATATACGTAACAGTACTTCTCGTCTTTTTACAACATAATTTTATAAGAATAATGATAGTGAACAGTTTATTTTTTTAAGCACTTTTCATTATTTCTTTTTATCGTATCATATTTATTATATTTATATTTCTTCTCTTATGTTTAAGTGTTAAATAACATTTAAAAGATATAAAAATATGAATAAAATATGTTTTTAGTTTCTTTTCAATTTCTTAAGATCGGTTTTAGTTCATAAAAAAATGTTTTATTTTGATTCTCGAATTTGAAAATATACTATTTTCAATCCTTAAAGTAGTTTAATAGTACTTTATAACTATTTTTAAATGTTATCTGAACTCCTTTAAAAATAAAAGTGATGTATTTTTAAATTAAAAGATTAAAATAGTTCAAAAAAAAAAGATATTAAAACTGAATTTTATAAATTTTCAAGGAACTAAAAAAGTATTTTTTTCCTAGAAATACTTTAGATCTCCTAATTATCTATTTTTTTAATTAATTTTTGTTTTTGGACCTACCAAGGTCTGAGCCATGGCTAACCGAGATAGGACTGCACACGAGGCTAACCTTAGTCTCGTGATCGACTGTGTTTGGTTTCGCGTCTTGGACGTTTTCCAAGTCTAAACAAAAGTTACATGTGGTAGCTTTTGTATTTTGGACGTGATTTCATTGATGAATGTATATATAGAACGTGTGTCCAAATATACACCGATAGAACAAGACTTCATAATTGATTAAGCAACTTAATGAATAAGATTTTTCTTACATTGATTATCTAATTTTTTAATAATATTTATTCCTTTCAAATAGTCATAACTTTAATTTTAATTTAATTTCTCTTAAATAAAATTTATATTTTAAATATTTTAAATACCGTGTTAAGCTGAAGAAAATTTAAACTATTAAGGACTTAATAGCGGGAGATTTGGGGTAATATCTTATTTCTAATTTCAGTATGGCTATTGTACGTTAAAATTTTTTTGAAGAACATTTATCAAATATAATGCTGGTCCAAGTAAAATTGTAAAAGTAGATATCTTAAACAAGATTTCAAATTTAATTTTAAAAAAAATTTAAAAAAAATCTTATTAAAAATGATCAATCAAATTTTAAATAAAAACTATTTATCACCAAAATAAAATGAACCAAACAAAATGGAGAACGGTTTCATTTATTAAAATAAATCAAAATTTAAGATTATTTTATATAATCTTAACAAATTATAATTTGAATTTGATTTTTAAATTTAAATTTTTGATACATCATATGAATAAAAATGTTTTAGTTTAATAAATATTTTTTATTTAATTTATTCTTATCTAATGAGTAACATATCTATCATTAATTATAAAATATTTATTACTAGTATAGGTTAAATATTTATTACATATAATTAAAATTTAAAATAATTTATGTATATAAATAAATATTATATTTAAATTTTTTAAGTATACTTAAAATTTGAATAGGTGAATATTTTAAATATATAAATTATATTTAAAAATTATGATAAATAATT